GCCCTTAAGCTCCAATAAACAAACAAGGCATTGAGCTGGTCGCCACGGCGTGTTGATCGATGAATGATTGGAGGGTGTGCTTGAATATCTGAATCGATTTATTGCACGTTTTACAATATTGGTTTGGACAGTCGTTCTTGATTCATGGAGCGGTGTTTGTGCGAGACGTATTTGAACCACGTGCCGCTGTGTTATACTGCAGGCTGGATCAGACGAGCCGCTAGGCGTGTTACTTACAGATTAACCTGGACTGGGCACTGTATTTGACCCTGGAGTAGCTGGACGTGTTACAGAGCCAGCAGTATGGACGAGTCTCTGTGTCCAACCCTGTGTTTCCATTGCTGACCCGTGAGTCCCTGGACGTGTTACAGAGCCAGCTGGACGAAGCGCTGCAGGCGGTGGAGGAGCTGGAGCGCGAGGCGGCCCGCGAGCGGCGACAGTTCGAGGAGCGCCTCTCGCGTCTCACACTGGAGAACGAGGAGAAGGTGCTCATGCTGCTGCGCCACATGCCGCAGCCGCAGGGCTGCAGTACGCCCAACTCGAGCTTCAAACAGGTCTGTAACAGCACCACTCGAGCTTCAGATTAGTCCATAACAGCTACACAAACACACCAGGCTGGTGCTTGGCGTAGATCCGTAACCGATCGATCTCAATTTTGGAATATATTTGTATAGTGCAGACACTCATTTCGAAACACAGACATTAGACAGATAATTTCGAAATCCAACTTCAAACAAGCTTCTTTTCCCCCCGTCCCGATGCTCATTTGTAACAGTATCTTTAGTCTAATCTAGCTTTTGTCGTTATAAATAATCCCCCTTCCCCAATCCCTCGCACCCCGTTAGATCGGCTCGACCCCTCGCCGTTGTGACACCCCCTCTACCTCCAGGGCAGTGGCGGCGACGACGGGGCTACGGCCGCACTCCAAGAGAGGCTCGCCATGCAGGAGCGGGAAATCCTGCGTCTGAGCGAGCTTCACGACATGCTGTCGGAGAGGGACGCGGAGGTGGCCGCGCTGAGAGCCGAGGCCGAGAAGCTGAAGACTCAGCTGGTGGGTATTGGATGGTTGGGGTGGGGAGAGTTGAGGAAGGGTAGGATGGGATAGGCTGGGAGGGAGGGACGATCGGATATGTTTGAAGGGAACGTTGGGGTAGGGAGAGGGGGCACTATGCGGATGACGGGCGGGGTGGAGAGAGGAGGGAGGTGGACAGGAGACAAGCGAGGTGGGCAGACGAAGATGGGAGGTGGCGTGAGGGTAGTGACGGGTAGGGATAAGGTATCTAAGACGTGAGTGAAAGAGCTGGAGCAGACAAGCCTGCAGCGAATCTTGTGTTCTTGTCGTCAGATGCAGCACATTTGTAATTTCTTGCAGTGCGCTTCAGCCCGCCGTCATCTTAAAATATCACCATGTTTTGCCCGACCGTGTTAATTGCCGCAGAAATACTTCGCATGCCCCCCCCCCCCTCCACGTCCGACCTGCCGGTCCGTTTTCCACAGAGCGAGGCCCAGACGGCGCCGGCCAAGCGCGCCCGCTCCGCCAAGCCGCCGCCGCGCCTCCAGCAGCGGGTGCAGCTAGATGAGATTCTGTCTCAGAGCGAGTCGGAATCTGGCGACGACGATAGCCAGGACCCTGAGTGGGTACGCACGCCGCTCTTCAAGCGTATCAGCCGAATGACGGTAAGAGTAGAACGCAGACGAAGGGAGGGTGGGAGGCGGGAGCATGATACCGGGTGTTGGAATTGTAAGTGTTATAAATTTGTCGCAATTTATGATCCATGAAATTATTAGAATCATAGATACCATGAACACCATGATATCTGGCTCATGTCATACTTCAGGTAGTTCATGTAGTTAGTTGAGGTAGTTCATGTTAACTATGTTAGAAAGTTTTTACTAGATAGTTCATCGCTCTGAGCTATTTCGTTTTCCGTTTCCAAAAATTACGTCGTCATCCTGATGTGTTGCATGGTCATGTCCTGTCCATCGTGCGCTGGCCTCTCTGAACTCAGTGTCTCCCGCGCCACTAACCCTTTCCCCTGCTCTCCACAGTCGCGTGCGTCGCAGATGGCCCGTCGCGGCCCCGACAACGACTCCAACTCCGAGTCGCCGGCTGATTCGGACGGCGCCGGCACCGTGAAGCGCCGCTCTGATGGCACTCCGCGCTGCAACTGCAAGGGGATGTGCAAGCTGCGCTGCCCGTGCCGCAGCCACCGCAGCCAGTGTGACGAAAACTGTCAGTGCAAGCCGGCACGGTGCTCGAACCGGGTGACTTCGGCCGCCGGTGGAGCGGACGACACTTTCACGGTGCCGCCGCAGGAGACTGCCGGGAAGAAAGAGAGCGCCGCCGATGTCACCTTCGTGGTGCCAGACAGGAAGACCCGCAGGTGAGTCGCCCACGGAGCTGTAGTCGGGGAAATCTTCGAAGGATTTAGATTATTGACGCTGTAGCTACTAACTCATGCTATGAATGAGTATATGAATACATTTATAACGGTTACATAAAGATATTATAAAGATATTAATAAAGATATTTAAATAATAATCATTAGAAATATTCAAGCTTCGTTGAATCCCCGCGCACTACCTCGCTTGCTGCAGTGCGCAGAGTTCGTGGGCGGGCCAGCAGCTGACATACGGTGCCCTCTCGGTGCCCGCAGGCGAACGCAGATCTTCGAGCCGCCTCCGTCTCTGGACAGCCCGGAAATGTTCGAAGCGCCCGGGAAGAAGGTGCGCGCCATGTCCATCTTCCAGGAGGAATGAGTGCTCGAGGATACGGAGACACGGAGCGCCAACTGAGGACGCTTAGCGCTGCACTAATTACTGTCGTATTCGGGGGAATCGAGGTGTTGGCTCAGAGGAGTGGGCCATTTGCCTAGACCACAATGACAGTGTGACTGATCTGTCTGTACGGTGGTGGCTTCTGTCGCTCGGCGGCCCGAGGCGGTGGCCGAGACTGTCGAGAGGTCTTGCTCGGAGAGTGCGCACTGCTCTGGCCCGGCAGTCTGGACGGTGGTGCTGGATCCGTCCCAGCTCTCGTCGCTCGCAATCATCGACGCCGTCGACGCGTCCCTGTCGCGCTCCGTCCGCGCGATACCCGAGTCACGTGACACGTCCGAGGACGCAGCGGCGGGGACAGTCGTCCTCCGTTGGTCCCTCCAGGACCCTCGGTCGGTCTGGTCGGCCTCAAAACTGGCCTCGACGACGTCGTTGGAGCGTCTGCCGGACCGCACGGCCTTCTCCGACCCCGGCTGACTGCAGGGGATGGCGTCATCGTCGCTGTCTTCATCCGAGATCACCAGCGGCCGCGGACGGCGCCTCTCGCTGGCGGGCGGCGCCACCACCTCATCCTCGTCATCGGATATCACCACGGGACTGGACGGACTGCCGCGCTCGGCGGAGTCACCCGACCGCCCCGCCGGCACGGACCGGTCCCGCCGCCTCCCGCCGGGGACAGAGTCGGAGTCGGAGTCGGAGTCACGCGAGAGGCCGGCCGGCGGTGGCGGCTGGCGCGGCGTGTGCCACGTCAGTAGGCGAGTCCGGTCCGGCGCCGCCCGTTCCGGAGACGGTGAGGCGGGGATGAGTTCCACCGACGACGACAGGCTGTCCTCCATGGCTGTCGGACGCTGGTGGCGACGTTCCTACGTCCAACACTACTGAGCGCTGCTAACAGTGCATAGAACAGCCGAACTGCGGGAGGCGGAGGACAAGCTGATCAGGAGCTATAGAGTATTTGGGTTCGGTGGCATTTGGGCAGCCCTTCCAGTAGACGATCAGCCTGTCAGTTCGGGAAAGCTAATAACAAGTACTTGTATGTGACGAGGGCTTGAATGAATTCATGATGAAAGCAGCGGTAGCTCATGCGCGGTAGGCATAATAAAAATACTGTTTTGTGTACTTGTTAATAGCACTTGTTTTACTATTCAGTCATGTAAAATAAAATGGTCAATTTTTCTCGCACGTTTCATTAATCATTATCATTGCACCGTCGTGCACCGCAGCAGCGGCGGCGGTAAGCTGCTCCCATGCGGCTGTGTTGCACGATGCTTGTAGGTTGATGACCGTTGACAGAGCGCCGGCTGGGAGACGGAGACGCAAACGCAGCGTCGGCCGGAGCGAGGCGGTGCTGTCGGCGTGCAGGGCGGTGTTTCACCGACGCTGTCAGCGCATCTCGCGAGCTGACGTCACACACGAAGCCCATTGCTCCAACACTACCACAAGACGTGTGATGTCAGCTCGCGAGATGCGCTGGCAGCGTCGGAAAATATCTGCATATTTTCTTCTGTTTTTGCCGACATGTTTATCAGCTGTTCGGAGTGCGTGTCACACTGCTAGCGTTCTGTGTTCTGCGCCTGTCGGAGCGGGACGGGTCCCGCGGCTGCCCAGTGCCCCGCTCCTCCCTTCTTCTCCTCTGTCATGTCGTTTACGCCTCCGCTGGCTGTGCCGCTGTTTCCGCGATGGGCGGCGGCCGTGGGACCTCTGCTGGAATGGTAGAAGGGCGATAATTTAATAAATTTATATGCTTTTAGTGTCTGTATTTCGAGTTTGGACCCTCCCATAACGGAAAATATCGACTGAAACGTCTGGTGAGTGCTGAGATACTATTGAGGACTGAGGTAAGAGCCCACATATAGGCCGAGTCACTATGGAATTGGGGCCTGGTGCATGGTCGGGTCGAACTAAGTTCCCTGGTTTGAATTAACGAGCAAACATAATTAGATTAGCCCATAAAACCATTAATCAACTTAATATCGGCAAATCCAAGTCCGAATTCAACTTAATATTCAACGCGGTTTAGCAGCAGGACAAGTCACAAGAACGCCTGCCCCAAGGCCCTAAATAGGTACATGCCCGGCCTAACCAGACCTAACCAACAAGAAGTTTTGACAGCGGAATTGCGACAGCGGAATTACTTGCGTATCTAAAGAATTGCAGTAAAATAGTGGTGGAAATTTAGGCGGGATTTCCAAACTTTCTTATGAGACAAAATATGCGCATCTCGCCGCAGAGCAGAGCTCGTCGTCTTGCGGGTCACGGTAAAAAGTAAAAACCATGAAAACGGTAAAAGTAAAGATAAATTCTAGCCGATAAATTGGGCACAAGCAAGGCGGCACAAGGTGGATAACACTAGACTGAGCTACAGTGTTATACACTGCTTTGTCTGCAAAAGGTAAGATTTCACCTTTCACAATTTACACTCTGGCTAATGCGTGACGCGCCCCTCTTCATTTTGGACGGACGCCAATTCTGGTGATTTTTAAGACCTTTGCGGTCCTATCAAATCACACATGTCAGTTGGGGAAACTACGAGGCGAAGATCCAAAAATGGATCGCTCAATAAATATACTTGATGACCATATAGCCTATAGGCATATATTGATATGGGCATAAATGCAGCCCTTGCTACTACCAGGTGAGAATACGGGTGAGAAACGGTACAACGTGCTGTTCCTTGCGGTATCGTATGTCCACTTATCAGAGAGAATAGGCTTCCATTTTGCACTAGGAATTAATGTGATTTGATTAAATTTGGTGTATTCACTTAAAAATGGCGATAGAAAATGGCTTTTCTGCAAGTTCTGCGCTCAAATTCAGCTGACCATTCAATAAATGGATTGGTGTTTTGAAGAAAAAAACTGTTAAAAAAAGGTTAAATTTAATTACAATAAATCAGGATATTTAGTTTTAAAATAATAACTAGCACAATTAGAAAAACCATAAACAAAATGTTAAAATTCATGACATTTAAAGCCATGGCTCTGCTTACATTTGTTTGGTGCGTCTGTTTCAATCAGCCATATTTGCCAATCACTTTAACCTTGTATTGTAGCTCTGCAATTTAGAGCTGCCAGGCGCCAGTGCATTGTGCACCGAGTTATGGTCATCGCCCCGGCCACTGCAGCCATTGATTGCCTGATTGGCTGATCAAATTTTAGTTCGGCGCCTGGTACTGGTAGTTTCCCTAACTGATTTCTATAGTCAGAATCTACTTTTCCTTGCTGAATAACGTGAAAACCATCATGAAGACACTCAGGCTGCCGCCTTACTCAGGCATGCAGTACAAATCTCAGGCTAGTCTGGAAAAAATGCATGTTATGCCGAATATGTTCAGCGTAATGGCCGGATTGCGCCAAAAATATCAGCGCACGACGCACGTCCGGCGTAAATTCGCATGCCTCAAATTCAGCCCATGGAGGTGGACAAAATGTTTCGGCGCAGGGGGGTCGCATAATTTTTTGGCGAAATACAGTCACCGAATTTATGCGGTACGCTGGTCAATCTAGCAGCAGATTCGCCCCGCTGGCGGCTCTGGAGAGGTTTCGGGACGAGACGTCTCCGCCCCGGTCGTCACGTGCTTGAATTGAACTGGCGAGCCGCCCCGAGTGCACTCAGCGGAGGAGTGGCTGCCCAGGTGGGGCCTCAACCCTCGGCGTGTCGCGTGAAGAATGGAGATAGGTATGGAAGACCTTGTTGAACATCGCCAAGCGCCGTTAAGCAATACTGCATTGGGTTCCTGCCCACTGTGGTATCGAGGGGAATGAGAGTGCGGACGACCTGGCAAAACAGGCGGATGCCCTGCCCTCAAACGCTCGCTCGCTGACCAGGGCGGTTCATTATGCGGCCTCGCATCAATGGCGCGACAACTGCTCAGGAACACTATTCAAGCCACTGCCGCCGCTCCCTATCCCCGGAGAGGACCGAGAGGATGCCGTTTCGGTGCACAATATACGGGAGACAGGCAGAGGAGCCTCTGCTGGACGATAGACCTCGGTTTGGTCCGACCCCCTCCCGACCATTCGACCCTTGATCGGGATAGATAGGGTCCTGTAGTAAAAAAAAAGTATTGCTCATGGCAAAAGGAAGCAAATGCGATTTTGAGATCTTACCTATATCATTGGCTGACCTTTTGGGTCAGGTCAATCACAATGACCTATTTGCCTCTGGGATATTTTGTCTTCTCTGGCTTATATGGCCTTGTTCTCTGGGGTATTTTGAGGTCCTAATTCTGATTTTCACACTAGTTTTGTTTGATAATGCATGTGTGCATTTGGGGTAGGTCGTGTGTAGGTACTAGGTAAACAGTTGCTATTGGCCAGTATTTACACCAATGATGCCTCTGTCACATGTAATATATTCTCTTAAAGTAGTTCCCAAATCCTCAAATGAATGCTAAATTTGTGATTGGCTCCAAAAACTGTTCATTAAAGATAAAGTCAAATGGTGTCAGCAAGTGGCAAATACTATTGGTCTCAAGAGAAGGGCACAGGTGACCTATAGTTATGATGCGGTGAATAGCAGAATCCAGGACACCCAGCGGGGCGAGGCTTAAATTAAACAGAAATTGGGAAATGAGGAAATAGATAAAGCTAGATTTCAGGTGAAAAATTGTGATGCATTTATGACTGTATGCACCCAAAAGGGGACAACCAAAGATGCACATTACACATGCATGCTCAGTATAAGAGCGTGTATGTACGTTGAAGTGGCCCACCACGGCAGCAAGTGACTGTGTCCCGCTCTGTTCCCGTGCCGCCAAGTCAGCCGCCACCATGGACAGCTACACAGTTCTGCTGTGCACGGAGCCTCCAGCCGATGGACAGCTGGACGCCCTGCTGGAGGAGCTGCGAGACGCCGACGCGCGCGCGGACGCCGTGGGCGCAGCGTTTGTGTCACTGGTGCGTCCCAGCAGCTCTGGAGGGTCGCCGGTCTGGCGCCGCCTCAAGGACGCGCTGAGCGGCGACGAGCTGGAGCGCGGCGGCGCGGCGGCGGACGTGTGCGGCGCGCTGGACGCGCTGGCTGACCGCGTGCCCACGGAGCGGGATGTGTCTGTGAGTGTGGTGTGGCTGTGCGGCGCGCGGCTGCCAGCGCCCGAGCGCAGCGGTCTCCTGTCGGCGCTGCTGCGATGGCGGCTCTGGCTCGGCGCGCTTTGTCAGTTGAGAGCGACCGGTGGAGGGTCGCAGCTATCCACCTGGCGCCGCCTCCTGGACGCCGACAGTACCGCCTCGCTCCGCCCGACGCTGCGACTGCGACTCCGCCTCCCAGCCGGCGCTCCTTCAACGGTCATCAATCTACAAGCATCGTGCGACACGGCCGCCTGGGAGCAGCTGACTGCCACCGCTGCTGCGATGCACGACGGCCAGTCAGCAGCACTGGCTCTACTGGATGGTGCCGAGGTGGTGACCGAGATTGGGGCCGACTCGGTGCCCGCCGCTGCCCTCACCGACTGCCGGCTGCGGCTGCAGCGGCTGGGCGCGGCGGCGGCTCAGCAGGAGCGCTGCGGCTGGGGTGACGGTCGGACGGCACTCCTGGTCCGTCTGCTAGCCGCGCCGGTCGGAGACGGCGACCGACGCCGCGACGCCGAGGACTGGCGCCGCATGGCGGTCGACGGGCGACCGCCGGATCGTCGCGCGCCGCCGCCCGCCGCCCGGCCTCTTCACTTCGTCATCACCGCAGGCGCCGACGGTGACGGTCTTATGACGCTGCTGGCGGCGGCGGAGGTGGCTGCGCTGCCGCACCAGCCGCCGGAACTCAGTCTGAGCGAGCTGCGCGCTCTGGCGGCCGGTATCGGCTGGGCAGCTGCCACTGAGCTCGTGTGCCGTCTCTCGGGCTCGGCCGAGGAGCCCGCCGGCTGGCCGGAGCGGCGTGGCCTGGCGCACTGGCAGGAGGTGCAGCGGCGCGCGGCGCCGGACGTCGGCCGGCCCGCCGCTGACTCGCTCGTTCTGGACGCTGACGGGATCCTGGGAGCGCTGGCGGGTCTGTCAGTGCCCGTCGGAGCGTGGACGGCGGCCGACTCGCCGCGGCGACTGGAGGCGGTGCCGTGGCCGGAGGTGGCCGAACAGCACGCGCCGGGTGTGTACTACAACACATCGGCGGCGGCCGAGGAGCGGGAGCTGCGCGCGGCGCGTCTCCGTGAACGCTGCGTGGCCGCCGAGACGGCGTGTACATGTTCAGTGTGGCGCTCGGACGCCGTGTCGGTCAGTAAGGCTGCGCCGACAACGGCCAGCCGCAGCTCACCGCGGCGTCGGCCGGCCTCCCGCACCGGTGCCCAACCGACCAACAAACAGCCGCACCCTACCCCGGCCGACCGGCCGCGGCAGACAGAGTTCCGACAGCGACTCGCCAAGGCGATCCAGGGGGCGCTGGGGGAGCACGGCGTGGGTGCACGGGACACCATGTACCGCAGCTGCGCCCGTAAACTCGCCACGATCGTGCGCGCCTACCTGCAGGACGTGAAGGGTGCGGGCGAGACGTCGGCGCGTCAGATGCTGCAGCTGGCGCGGGTGCACGTGAAGCACGTAATTCAGGTACAGCGTGAACTCCAGGGGACCAGCTGAAGTGTGGACGGGGGAAGGCTGGGTAGAGGAGTGGAACATTTTCAATGACAGCAGTTTGGGAGAGAGAGTTCGGGCGGCGTGTGTCTACCGATGATCTGTGGTAGTCATGTCCTGTGTGATTGAGAGTGCGGTGGACGAAAGTCACTTGTATGGACATTGAAAAGTGGCCAGGCTGCTGAGAGGTGAGGGATGGTACATAAATCTGTGTCTGGCAGTTACGTTGGCTTTGGACGTCGTGTGTACTGTGTAGTCGTAATTGCAAAGAAAACCGGACTCGTTGATGAATTGTGTGAGGTCCTGGCTGATGGAAATATGGTGCTCAAACTGTCCAATGGCCGTGGTTATAATAACAGTTACAATAACAGTGCCAGTTGGCATGACCAAGCAGCCAGCCGTGTTAACTAATGTAATGCTTCGGGGTTTTCTTCCAAATGTCTTTTAATTCAGCCGTCAGCGTAATGTATTTTTAGCAATATCTGATATTTAAACGGTGTGAAACAGAGTAAAAGGAATTGCTATTTGCCGGTTCGATGGTACTGCTTGTTGAACTGGTTGATCCCATGTATTTTGAATGAACTGGTGTTTTAATTTGTTCTTATCTCCCGAATATGAACGATAACTGTTTTAAGAATTAATAAAAATGCGAGAGAAAAAATGACTTTCGTTTACCTGATTGAAAAGTGAATAATGAAAAGTAAAAACCATTGACATCCCCAAGCACATGCACGCAAAATAATACAGGGTGATCGAAAAAAAGTGTCACCCCTAACTTAAAATCTACATAACTCGCGACTGATAGGTCGGATGACTTCGCGCCAGGCAGCATCGGAAAGAGCAGGCAATTTCTTTTCAATTGAATGTATTCATGATTGTTTTCTATTCCAAATCTTGTCCCCAATGGGCTCAAAAACCAGTCAATGTGCGGCTTTCACGTGAAACGAAATTCACCGAACGGGATCGGACACCGCTGAACGAGAACAATGAGTATCGTAACTCAACATGACACACACCTTACACATTACACATGGAGTGTATGTTGTTCACTGCAGACTGTTTCTCAGCTGACCTTAGACTCGTCGCTTCACTCGAAGTCGAGTCGGTGCTCGAACCGACCGCCACCGCAGGCGATGCACGCCTCCAGGCGTTTTGGGAAGGCCTCGATTGCCTTTATCACCTGACGCTGGGAGATCTTAGCCCAACACACCTGCAGCCGCTCTCAGGTGGTCTAGATCACGGATCTTCACGCCGCGGTATACGAGCCTCTGCAGTTCTCCCCATACGAAAAAGTCCATTGGGTTTAGGTCAGGACTTTTTGGAGGCGACGCTTTTGAACACGCCAAATTGGGTCCTTAACATACTTTTTGAATAGCTAAATCTTCGTTTGCGGCATAAACCATGCATATTTACATGCATTCGAAAGGAAATTGTATGCTCTTTCCAATGCTGCCTGGCGCAAAGTCGTACGACCAACCAATCGCGAGTTATGTGGCTTTTAAATTAGAGGTGACACTTTTTTTCGATCACCCTGTAGCACTCAAATATATCGCGAATGACTTGTCGATCCTTTCTTATCATACATTTCATCATACATCCTACATGAAGACCTCATTACATAATGTTACTTGTTTTTAACTTCCCCGAACTGGCAGAATAGTCTACTGGAAGGGCTGCCCAAATGCCACCGAACCCAAATACTCTATAGCTCCTGATCAGCTTTTCCTCCGCCTCCCGCAGTTCGGCGCTTCTATGCACTGTTAGCAGCGGCCAGTAGTGTTGGACGTAGGAACATCGCCACCAGCGTCCGACAGCCATGGAGGATAGCCTGTCGTCGTCGGTGGAACTCATCCCCGCCTCACCGTCTCCGGAACGGGCGGCGCCGGACCGGACTCGCCTACTGACGTGGCACACGCCGCGCCAGCCGCCGCCGCCGGCCGGCCTCTCGCGTGACTCCGACTCCGACTCCGAGTCTGTCCCCGGCGGGAGGCGGCGGGACCGGTCCGTGCCGGCGGGACGGTCGGGTGACTCCGCCGAGCGCGGCAGTCCGTCCAGTCCCGTGGTGATATCCGATGACGAGGATGAAGTGGTCGCGCCGCCCACCAGCGAGAGGCGCCGTCCGCGGCCGCTGGTGATCTCGGATGAAGACAGCGACGATGACGCCATCCCCTGCAGTCAGCCGGGATCGGAGAAGGCCGTGCGGTCCGGCAGACGCTCCAGCGACGTCATCGAGGCCAGTTTTGAGGGCGACCAGACCGTCCGAGGGTCCTGGAGGGACCAACGGAGAACGACTGTCCCCGTCGCGGCGTCCTCGGACGTGTCACGTGACTCGGGTATCGCCCCGACCGAGCGCGACAGGGACGCTTCGACGGCGTCGATGATTGCGAGCGACGAGAGCTGGGACGGATCGAGTATCACAGGTGGTCAGTCGACCCCGGGGGACGAGGAGGATTCGCGCTCCAGGGTGCAGAGGCTCTACAGCAAGTACACCGTCAAGAAGCGGACTACCCCGCCTACTGAACCCTCTTCTCAGAGTGGTGAGCAGTCGAGCAGCCCACAGGCAGGTGGCGACTCGGCGGGAGGTCCTCCCGGTCGGCCGTCTCCCTCTGGCTCCACAGCGGCGGGCAGGAGCAGTGAGAACTCCTCGAGCGCGACCACTCGACAGTCTCGGCCACCACCGCCGACCGCCGACCGGCAGAAGACCTCGCCGAGCAACCAGACCAGCCGCACTGTCATTGTGGTTCCAGAGGACTCGCAGCAATCGGACAGAGTCGCCGGGCCGTCCGCGGCTGGCGCGCCCTCGGGGAAGGGTGGAGGAACAGCGGCGGCGGCGGATGATGTCGATGTCGACCTCTCGTTCCTGTCCATCCGCGAGCTGGAGCAACAACTGAAACAAAAGGAGGTAAGTCACTCTACACCACTTGACATTGATTGGACCTGTGATTCTAAAAAAAAAACACACACATTTTTTAGGGTTGGTTAAATTCATACGATGTTAAGCTTTCTGAAGAGCGTGCAAATGGCATCTTTCTCGCGCATGTTGTAACTTTTATAGGCTTTTACGTCTATGATCGCTGCTCGACGTTGAAAGGTCAAATCTGTGATGTGTCCGACTAACAAGCGTCCCACTGATATCAGCCTTCCACCCTGACTCCTCTGACTTCACTGGACTGACTTGCTCTTGATCACCCCGATTTTGTCATCGTCTTCGACCGTCCCTGAATAACGTTCTCCTTCCCTGACTGACGTTCTCCGTCCCTGACTGACGTTCTCCGTCCCTGACTGACGTTCTCCGTCCCTGACTGACGTTCTCCGTCCCTGACTGACGTTCTCCGTCCCTGACTGACGTTCTCCGTCCCTTACTGACCTTCTCCGTCGCTGACTGACGCTACCCTCGCCGACAGATGGTGGCCCGCGTCTCCAATCTCTCGGCACTTCCGGACGGCGGTCGGCGATTGAGGGCCACCATCCACCAGCTGAGGGCCGCCCTGGAGCAGAAACGAGCCGCTCCCGCCCTCGCCGCCGCCGCCCCCGCTCGGCAGGGGGACGGAGGAGGGGCGAGTGAGCTGGAGAGAGTGCAAGCGCAGATCAGACAGAAAAGGGTGCGTACTTCGATAAAATTAGCGCGAACTATAGTCCACAGACCACTATATATCGTGTCCGTGATGTATAGTGGTCCATGGCAGGAGTAATGTAAATGAATGCAGATGAATGAAACTTAACCGAAATGAAAATACAATGTCTAAATTTGGCTTGAAATACATATGTGTGTAAATAGTAAGTTTCTCTGTTAGGGCTGATGTAAATAATTATGCCACTAAACAGCCCACAACATCGATAGAACCAGAACTGATCGCACTGACCTGAGCTGACCCTCTGTTTCTGTTCTTTCTATCTCCTTGCCACAGATGGAGTACAGCACCAGCGCGCATCGGGCAGACGCAGCTCGCAGTGCGCAGCTACAGCGCGACATCTTCAAACTGGAGACAGAGATGATGCGTCTACAGATGGCGCGCAACACAGGCGGACCCGGTGAGGGAGAACTGCATGAGGGAAGGGTGGGGTGGGGGAAGGCGGGCTGGGCTTGTGCTGAGGTGCGTTCTGGGTTAAACGGTGTTTGAGATTCGTGCCAGCGATTTTATGTTCATGCTCTGCTCTCCGTCTCCTCTCTCTCTCTCTCTCTCTCTCTCTCTCTCTCTCTCTCTCTCTCTCTCTCTCTCTCTCTCTCTCTCTCTCTCTCTCTCTCTCTCTCTCTCTCTCTCTCTCTCTCTCTCGGTCGGTCGGTCGGTCGGTCGGTCGGTCGGTCGGTCGGTCGGTCGGTCGGTCGGTCGGTCGGTCGGTCGGTCGGTCGGTCGGTCGGTCGGTCGGTCGGTCGGTCGGTCGGTCGGTCGGTCGGTCGGTCGGTCGGTCGGTCGGTCGGTCGGTCGGTCGGTCGGTCGGTCGGTCGGTCGGTCGGTCGGTCGGTCGGTCGGTCGGTCGGTCGGTCGGTCGGTCGGTCGGTCGGTCGGTCGGTCGGTCGGTCGGTCGGTCGGTCGGTCGGTCGGTCGGTCGGTCGGTCGGTCGGTCGGTCGGTCGGTCGGTCGGTCGGTCGGTCGGTCGGTCGGTCGGTCGGTCGGTCGGTCGGTCGGTCGGTCGGTCGGTCGGTCGGTCGGTCGGTCGGTCGGTCGGTCGGTCGGTCGGTCGGTCGGTCGGTCGGTCGGTCGGTCGGTCGGTCGGTCGGTCGGTCGGTCGGTCGGTCGGTCGGTCGGTCGGTCTGCTCACTCACTCCCTCCTCTCCCTCTCTCCCCTCAGCAAGCCGGAACCCGTTCAGTCTGGGCGGCACGGTCGGCCGGCCGCCGGCTCTGAACCGTCCTCACGGGGAACGCCCCTCCGGACCACCACCCGCTCACACCGACACGCTAGAGGAAGCGCTCCGACGCGGTGCGCCGACGACCAGCGTCGTCACTGATGAGCAGCGTCGGCTGGAGGCGGAGGCCAGGGAGTCGCTGCGGGACTTTGGTCAGATCCGGCCTCAGCTGACCGCTGCGCTGCTGGCCTCCAACCCGGAGCTAAGCAGACTCTACGGCGGGCGGATGACAGAGGGTGAGAGAGAGACTCTACGGCGGGCGACGACAGAGGGTTAGAGAGACTTTACGGCGGGTGGGTGACGGAGGGTGAGCGAGACTCTACGGCGGGCGGATGACAGAGGGTGAGAGAGCGAGAGACTCTACGTTGGGCGGACGACAGAGAAATGAATGAAAGACTCAACAGAGCATGGATTGATTGAATGGGCGACCATGATGGTATTGCCTATTGTTTGGCAACCATGGGTATGATTGTTTGCAAGTGAGAAATTACTTAATTCGTGTCTCGTACGACTAAAATGGTTACTATATGTATATTGGCTGTCCTCATAATAACACATATTCCATGTGTCATGTTCCAACTCTCAGTTAATCAGACCTCACAGCCTCCCCCTCTCCCGTTCTAACTCCACCCCTGCCCCCACAGCGCGCCACCGGCAGGCCTCTAACGTTACCACCGAGATACTGGAGCGCCTGCACCGCTCGCTGGAGACACGGCCTCCGCCCACCGCCGCCGACGCCGGTCCGGAGTGCCTGAACGTGCCGCTGATGCCGCACCAGCAGTACGCCCTCAGCTGGCTGCAGTGGAGGGAGCGGCAGCTGCCCGCCGGCGGGGTGCTTGGTAGGTGATGGGGGGGGGGGTTGTGGGTTTTTGTGATCGGGCACCTAGGGTGGGGAGTGGATGTGCGTGTGTGCGTGGCTGCACGCGCGCTTTAGGCGTTGGTACCTTTGATACCGTAAAATGGGGTGTTAAGGGACAGTGGGGTGTTAAGGGACAGTTGCATGGGAAAAACTTTGAGTCATATTAACTTCCTAATTTGAGAAGGTTCAATAAAAACTTCACTGTGGTAGTTTACACTGTTTTGCTCTTGACCATAGGACAAAATGGTATGGTTTTTCATGCAAGTGATATGGTTCAAAAATGGATTTGAAAATCATGCTACATTTTCACAAAATTGACACATCTCCAAAACTCTGTGTGTACCACATAAACTAGTGGGTGTACAGGGAAAATGAATGCATAGGTGTATTGTCACATGTATTGCACATGTTTCCTGAAAAACTTGTGCAAATCCACCCATTCATTCATCATCCTCTTCCTCTTTTCCGGATACATGCATATTTTGAGGTGGATGTGGGGTGCTAAGGGACAGGGAAGAAAAAATAAAAAATAAAATCTAAATATAATTTCATTAAGTTTTCTTTAAGTAGGCATGGAAAACACCAAATTCCACATAAAATGCAGGCAAGTTCATGCTTTTATCTCTAACACATCTTAAGTTATGTAACAAAACATCTCAACACTCTTTTACAATGATGGGTCAATGGAGACTGATGTAGGTAAATGTGATGTCATCATAAAAAGGCTAAAACAAAGAGGGCAACATAATGACAAGTGACTAGCTTCAACATGGGTTTTTATTGATGACAGAAGATTACTTTTTGGTTATGTTTACCTTAAAATTAGCACATTTTCCACAAGCGTAAACTGCATTACACGTAATTGGCTAAAAAGGTCATTAGTGGTGAATGAACCTGACTTGTTTTGTGACAGAATATGCAAAACATTTCAATAAATAAATTGTGTGCCCTTCCACACCCCAACTGTGGACATTTCATGACCATTTCTTGGAATAATATAGGTGTCCCTTAACACCCCACATTGGGGTGCTAAGGGACAGTGATGAAAAATAATAAAAGATAATATGCAGGTATAATTCTTAAAAACTTTAATATGGCAGACATGTAAAGCACCAAATTCCACATAAAATGCTGACAATTTGATGCTTCTATCTCCAACCCTTCTTGAGTTATATAACAAAACACCTCAAAACTGTCCCTTAACACCCCGTTTTACGGTAATTGGTGATCATTCGAGGGGCCCAAAAAGTACTTACGTCAAACGTGCTCTGACTTGTGTTTTGTGCGTGTTTGAAGCTCCGTTCGGTTCTCTAAAACCACTGCAGTCAAACTAAGTTAACGTCTTAATCGCACTGTTTGTGCCGTTGAATTTCGCCTGAATCGATTTGTGCTGGCATAGACCTCTGTATACCGAGGTCTATGGTGCTGGTGATTTGTAGCAAACCTTTATATGTCGAGTTTGTTTTATCTGACCGCTCCTCTACTGTCTTGCTTCCAGCCGACGACATGGGTCTGGGTAAGACTCTGACGATGATCGCCCACTGTCTGCGATCGGCCGAGCTAGACAAAGAAGAGAAGGAGAAGAAGAAGGAGGCGGAGAAGGCCGGCTCCGACAAGGAGAACGCCGCGGACAACGGAACGGACAAGGACTCCGAGCAAGAGAAGGCAGACTTTGTCGATGGAAAGGGAGGCAAATGGCTCTCGAAAGACAAACCGTCAAAAGGTGAGGGTTCAATAAAGCGATTTTCTGGACTCTACATCGCATGTTCGTTACTAATTCGTTGACGAGTCGTTGCGTCTTTGAATATTTCCTTCTGTACCTCCTCGACTAGCTCCAGCGCTCCTAGCTGATGCTAGCTGTTGAAGAACGTGCTTCATAGTATTCGCTGTGCACCACTGCTCACTCACTGTGCGGTTTGTCCTCAGAGGAGGGGTCCGCGCCTCTGCCGCCCTCTCGGGCCACTCTGGTCATCTGCCCGGCGTCCGTGCTACTGCAGTGGGAGGCGGAGGTCCGGCGGCGCACTGTGGGGGATGTCACCGCCATTGTCTACCATGGACCGAACCGACGCGAAGATCGGCGGCGGTAGGTGGTGCTTGAGTGGGCGGCAGGGCTGGTCTGTGGGGATATGGGGGTCGGGACTCGGCGGTACCGGGTGGGTTGTCGCGATAAGGGTCAGCCGTGCTCTGCGTTACAACGGATGAGACTGATTGGGTGGTGTTGGCGGATGCCATTAATGACTGCCGCGCGCACCATAATGCCTTGTTTGATGTCACTAAGAGAACGTCGCCCGTGTTCGTGAAACACCTACTTTCTCCGTTTCAGGCTGCGCAAGGTCCACTTTGTGCTCACAACCTACGACCTCGTCCGCTCAGAGGTCGAGAAGGACAACCTGTTCGGGGCTAACAAGGTGAGTATCTCAGTAAAGTCCCATCCCCATAACCTATAAACATAACGATATAGCAGCTAATGACATTGTGTATTGCGTCGTTTTACGTAATTACTTTCCAATTCGTATATGACGAGCTAATAAGCACCAACCAGCTTTGGTGGTTGTCATTTGGGCGCGGCGTATTGTTGTCATGTAATTACTCTGTAGGCTATTTTGTTACAAACGATTCAACGCTTGTTTAGGACTATTGCATTTTTACGCCTACATTACACAGTGCTATAGTCTATCCTAGGTAGTCCCTCTCTGAACCCCGCCCATCACCACATACCGTCGAGTATTCATGGGACACAACCACCCGCCGTATCTCTCCAGGCCAATCCGTCTCCGCTGCTCTCGTACACCTGGCGGCGCATCATTCTGGACGAGGCTCACCAGATCCGCAACCGGAACACCAAGTCTGCCAAGGCGGTCTGTGAGCTGCAGGCAGACACGCGCTGGCTGCTCTCCGGAACGCCGATACAGAACGGACGCGAGGATCTGTTCAGTCTGATGCGCTTCCTTCGCGCGGCGCCCTTCCACGAGTATGAGGTGAGGGGGAGGTGTGGAAATGGTGGAGAGGATTGGGTCAGATCTACGGTCAGAGGGAAGGGAGGTATGGTTGAGAGAGAGAGAGGGGTTAGAAGTTTCATGGGGTGATTGGATTTGTATGATCGGACGATGTGACAGTGCGATATACGCTGTGTAGCGTAAAAGAATGTCACGGACCGGGAGTTCACAACTTTTATCGTAATTTGCACTTCACTCCATTAGTGAATTGTTACAACGTTGAGCTTATTGACTGAACGAGCTTACGTTTTACGTGACTACCCGACCTATCACGTGTCAGATGACAACCTCAGTCATGAACTGATCGCCGTTTTCCCCCTAGTATGTACGCCTATGCTACCTCCCTGACGTGCCACATCCCTCTGTGCTCTTTTTCGGTCGACCCAGGTGTGGAAACGCTGGATCGACAAGAGTCCGCGCGGTGACGAGCGCCTCAGTCTCATCGTCCGCGCGCTGGTCCTCCGACGCACCAAGGACCAGGTCTCCCCGGACACAGGTGAGACCGGCGATGGTCCCGGTCCGGACCGCGTGGTCCGCCCGCCGGACCGTGCTTCGTGCCTGCCCTGGGTTGAGAGAAGCTGCTACCAAACAATCCAGAATTGGAGGATGAAAAGCATGCGATAGCATGCTTTTGCATCCGGAAATTCCCATTGGTGGGTCGCTGAAAAAAAGTTCGGCTGAACCTGTTTGTCAGTGAGTATGTGAGTATGTGAGTATGTGAGTGAGTTTGTCCAAGCTTTTTTGGACCTGGAGTCAAAATGGGTGGACCGATCGGGACGAAAGTGGGACCGTTTGATTCGTCTCCGGCGAGGTAAACTTTTGGTGCTGGCCTCGATTCGCTCGGTGCTTCGTGGCACATGCTATTCCGCTTCAAAGTTTCGGTGACACGAATTTTTTGTCAAGGCTTCAGGTCAACCCGAGGTCACGGGCAAAGCCATACTGGCGGGACACATCGGTAACACCTTGAACCAGTTTCCAGGGGGGTCACCGTCTGCGAGGGGTGCAGGCTGCACGTGCTGGGGTCGGAAAACCGTTTTGACGTGAGGTCCTCTGGCTCAAAGACATTTTAAGCTATCAACCTCAAAATCGGTTCAATGGTAGTCCCAGGCAAGGCCTCCAAAATAATGCACATTTGGTTGAGCTAAACTCTGTGGTGCATGAGCTATGCATGTGCAAGCCGATTGCACCCCTTCGTACGTTGCCACGCCTGCAGGGTAAACGGCAGCTCTAACTGGTTCAAAACTTGCAGGTCATAAGAAGAATACATTTGATCACGACATTCCGGCGAGATAATATCCGAGGGGTGCAAGCTGCGCGTGCGGGGGGCGGATAACGGCTTTGACGAGGGATCCTCTGATCCCGGGAAACGTCGATCTAGCGACACAAAAGTCGGTTTTTAATGAAGTCATTAGGCTATGGATCCTCCAATTCTGGCCCAAGGCAACGCACGAGCGCTGCCGGCATCTAGTTAGGTGACTTTGTTGCATTGGTCGTACTTATCCAGAATTGGAGGATCAAAAGCATGCGATAGCATGCTTTTGCATCCGGAAATTCCCATTGGTGGGTCGCTGAAAAAAAGTTCGGCTGAACGTGTTTGTCAGTGAGTATGTGAGTATGTGAGTATGTGAGTGAGTTTGTCCAAGCTTTTTTGGACCTGGAGTCAAAATGGGTGGACCGATCGGGACGAAAGTGGGACCGTTTGATTCGTCTCCGGCGAGGTAAACTTTTGGTGCTGGCCTCGGTTCGCTCGGTGCTTCGTGGCACATGCTATTCCGCTTCAAAGTTTCGGTGACACGAAATTTTTTGTCAAGGCTACAGGTCAACCCGAGGTCACGGGCAAAGCCATACTGGCGGGACACATCGGTAACACCTTGAACCAGTTTCCAGGGGGGTCACCGTCTGCGAGGGGTGCAGGCTGCACGTGCTGGGGTCGGAAAACCGTTTTGACGTGAGGTCCTATGGCTCAAAGAAATTTTAAGCTATCAACCTCAAAATCGGTTCAATGGTAGTCCCAGGCAAGGCCTCCAAAATAATGCACATTTGGTTGAGCTAAACTCTGTGGTGCATGAGCTATGCACGTGCAAGCCGATTGCACCCCTTCGTACGTTGCCACGCCTGCAGGGTAAACGCAGCTCTAACTGGTTCAAAACTTGCAGGTCATAAGAAGAATACATTTGATCACGACATTCCGGCGAGATAATATCCGAGGGGTGCAAGCTGCGCGTGCGGGGGGCTATGGATCGTGGGCTATGGATCCTCCAATTCTGGCCCAAGGCAACGCACGAGCGCTGCCGGCATCTAGTACTAAATGCCTTCGGATAGCAATTCTCACTTTTGCTCACTGAGTTTGTTTTAGTGCGTTGACTTAATTACTGTAACTTGTCTCAAAGAAAAAGAAAATCTCCATTTTGATGTCAGTACCCCTACCGTTCGGACTTCGGGATTACGCCTGCCTTTCGATGTGACCCGCCACCTGCCTTCTGTGGTTCGCAGGTCGGCCGCTAGTGGCGCTACCTCCGCGGGAGAAGCGCTGCCACACTGTGGAGCTAGACGATCGTGAGAGACAAGTCTACGACAAGGTGTTCGCCTTCTGCCGGTATGTAGGCGTGGCCACGATGGGCAATGGGCATGGTCTCAATGGACTTGGGTGGGGTCTTTTATCGTCATCGACTTCACTGAGCATGCGTAATGGTACTGAGAGGTAACTAATGCGATTGATATCCCTCATTTTCCCGGGTTATAAAAAGGCTGTGAAGAGGCTCATATAAATATGTATCATGTTTCCATCCAAGTCTAACATAACTCCTCGTGTCTCCTGGCAGCTCCTCTCTGCAGGAGTTCATTAAGCTCCAGGAGGAGCGCGAGTACGAGAAGGAGCTTAAGACGAACCCGCACGCCCGCCCGCCGCCCGGACTGAGCGCCACGTCCCTGAGCGCTGCCGCCGGATCTGCACCGCGGCTCGACCTCGGAGGTGAGTCGGGGTACCTCGGCAGGGCGAGGGCACGGTCGCCGGTCGCCGGGCTGGCCATGTGATGGTGACGGGGTCTTCTGTTGGCGGGTCTGGTCTCAGAATTACACTTCAGGTTGGAGTGGTTTGACCCAACGACAGATGATTGGTAAGTCTGCGTGTCGGCTTCTGGTCATGAGCTACCCATTCACTCTTCTACGGTTCTCAGAAGTTACAAAGCTTCATCGGACCAACGACATTTGCCACTTTATCTTATCCGCCGGTATCGTTCGTACATCGATGACCAATGGGGTTTCCTGTATTACCCGCGTTAACATTAAACAATTCACATTCAAGCGTACTATGCTGCCCCCGTCCGACATCATAAAACGAAACACGGAAATAATCAGCTGTCGAATTGTCTCTGTCGGTCAGGCTGGGCCGAGGGGTTTTCCGGTCACTGAACTCACCCCTCCCCCTACCCTTTACGGTCGGGGCGATCCCAATCAAAGCGATCGCGTCTGGTAGCCAGAGACAGGATGAACTGGACTGGAAGAGCTGCCATCCGTCAGTCGGTTGGACAGGACAGTGGGGGGGGGGGGATTGTATCAGGGGGTGTTGGGGGGGGACGGAAGTTCGGGCGTGGTCCAATAGCCATATCCCGTGGTGGAAGTCATAAAAACGTTTTTTTTTTTTACAAGCCGCGGGCTTGGGTACTCAACAAGGAATGCCGTGGGAAGCTGATTAGCGTAAAAACGCTAAGATCGGTGGTTCGACCGTGACCCTCGAGTTATTTCGGCTAATTCCAACAACAAATACCGCCCATGCCTCAGCCTTCCAACATTTCCTGGTTTGGGCAGTTTGTGTACGGAATGGTGACGTCGCTTAGATAGGATCTCCGGACACTGTCACGTATGGCGCTAATTAGACATTAATGCCAAGGTCTCTGCCGAAGGTGACGTCACATTTGACGGCACTGTGTTTTAACAGGGAATCTTCCGTTCGTATTTGGGATGTGGCCACAACCCGGGCTAACTTCCTCGATCAGTTTGTTGTTCCGATCAACGGTCGACCGATCAATCCGATCGACTAAATTTGGCAGAATATGACAGCTTTGTCAATCGTAACCAATCAGGATAGTAACTGTGAAAAGGCATTTTTGGTAAATGAGTATGCTCATTATTTGCATAAGTCCGTTGATTTAACTTCAGATAAGACATTATAAAATATGAATTATACACCATGCAAAAAAAAAAAATATCACAAAGTAGAGTTTTCAATAAAAGTGAAATAGCCACGTTAGTTCATATTTTTAGTATCATGCCAGTGAACTTTCCTAAAGTTTTTTTTTTAACGAACGGTTGATAACCCATGCTATTAACGGTATGTTTTATAACGGAAGTCGACCCACTGTAATTGACAACTCAGAATTCTAGGAGTAAATTTTGAAGAAAGATACTATTTTGACGTCCTTATACCCGACTACACATCGGTCTTGATAAGACAGAAACATTCATCGTTTATCTTTCGTGAAAAGGTGAGCTCTGACGGCTTGATCAACAAAAAAAAAAAAAAAAAACTTTTCTGTGCGGACAGCATTTTCATATTTAGCTGAAAGACATCAGTCAGTAGACGGTTTATTGATGACGGATGCTGTGAGATACGGACACATTACAACAAGTCAGCGCATATTCAACATATAATAAATACTGGAATGTAGAAATAAATCGAGAGCTGATAGTGACCTGTAACGTGTCACCGTGGAAACACGCCCGTGGTCGACCCCAAGACAGCCTCTGCATATGTCTGTACCTGAGTGAAGCCCCGAGATAGCCTCTGAGCATGTCTTCCTGAGTGCAACCCTGAGTAACACAATGCAGTGACATTTTGGTGACAGGCGCGCTCGCGTGGGTGCTTCTTTTGCTGCGTAATGTCGCCGATTCTGGGCACATTTCCCTGTGATGGGCTCGTGCTGTGCGTTGGTTTCCTAGTGGCTGAAACCCAACCTATTTATCAAAATCGAACAGATCGTCATAATCGAATCCAGCATGGTCATCGTCGTCATCATAATCATCATCATCGTCATCGTCATCGTCGTCGTCGTCGTATCGGAATATTACACCGGGCCAGCTCGCGACAGGTTTCCGCCCGAACACTGCGAAGACCCTGTTGTTGGAGACGGTCGGCGCTGCGGCCTGCTGCGGTCGGTAACGGACGGACGCCTCGAACAGATCGTCGTCGAACAGATCATCCTCATCGTCGTCGTTTTCGTAGCAGTCGTCGCGCTCGTCGTGCTGAACGGCGTCCTCCAGAATCTCGCGGAGGTCGAGCGGTGCGCAGACACCTCCACTCAGAGGCCACGGCCGACGGCGGCAGCCGAGCCCGGCACCGCACGGCGGCTGGCAGACGGGTGTGGCCGGCTCCGGCACGCACACTGCGCGCGGCCGGCAGAGGCGGCGGCCGGTGCACCGGCGCCGCCAGATACACCGCTCTCCGGCGCCGCAGTCCGGCGAGCAGACTGCCCGCGGGCACCGGCAGCGGCGGCCGCACGCACCCGGACAGCACAGTAGACCGGCGGGGCAGTGCGAGTCCGATCGACACCGGTCCCGCGCAGCGCACTGCAGCAGGGAGGCGAAACGCACCGCCGGGCAGGCGGCCCGCTCTGGGACGGAGATGGACACGTTAGGGGGCGGAAATGACACAGTTGGACGGGCAATCACTTGGGGGCTTAGTCATACTGCTCAAGAAAACTTTGCTTCTCAAACCGCTGGCTCTATAACTGATGGTAACTGTTTCCAGATTGTCAGTTGCTACACATATGCTTTGCATGCCGTCAGTACGGACTTACCTGACGTCTGTGCGGCTGTCGGTCCGGCGTCGGCTGCCAGCAGTGTCGCCGGCCCCGTTCCGGACCCCTCCATGACCACGCCCGGGGCCGCCGGCCCAGTACCAGACCCCTCCACGGCTGCGCCCGGAGTCACCGCCCGGCCGGCGCTCGCGAGGACAGCGAGCAGCGCAGCGCGCGCCACCAGACGCGTCGGCAGAGTCCCGGCCATGGCGACGACTGGTCTGCCACTACTGGCCGGCGGGCGGCTCCGCGCTCTTTATGGCGGTGCTCTCCGGGGCCGGGGCGGACCAGCCGGCCGAGCGGACGGCTGCGGCACGCGTGTGATGAAGGACACGCCTTCGGATGGCGGAAGACGTGACCCTCAGCAGAGGATAGTCGGTCTGTCTAGCCTCGATATAGAGAAAATTTCTAGGGAAGATACTCATCATTCCATGGTGATCAATGAAACTGACCTACCTGAAATATTTATCAAGAAGCTATTGAATACCATTTGAGATTTGAAGATAATCATGGCCCTGTTGTCGACGCACAACAAGTAAGCGAAAAATCAGTGATTCGAAGATAAAAAAGACCGAAACTTACCGCTCCCCCGGTGGGCAGTCTGAATAAATAGTCCCAAAGGTATCCGGTTTATTATAGTACCGATGTTCGTAATGGATAAATCAGGCTTTTAGATACCGGAGCATTAGTGGCGCAAGACCCCAGGCATGATGAAAACAGAGTCTGACTTTGGCGGGAATTATATTAATAAATCATCGTAACCAGTGATACAAAGAAGTCCAAAAATGATACCATCTACTCGTAAGAGTTTAGAACCCAATCATTTATCAACTCGTCAGCCTAGCAGCTCATGAGTCATCGCTTTCCATTTCTTTTGCGTCTGTCGCGGTGAAAGCGTTTCTCTTGTGTGTCGTTAGGTGGCACTGATCTGACACAGCACTGGGTATGCAGGATCATCGTACACTTGGGCATTCCACTGGCCGCCATAGGGATCCGAGTTTATGTAGGTGCATCGATTACCCTCACCATGGTTGGCGCTATGCTTTTCCCAAAGTGACCATTCCAACGGTGATCCGTCCAGCCAGGAGAAGCCAACCACTCCGCCTGCCTGATCTGTGGGGCACTCTCCCTCGCAGCAGAGGCCGATCCACGCCATCTCCCCGCCCATCACCCGGTCAGCCAGGAACGAGTTGATGGTGTAGTCGATCCTGATCGCCGCGGTGGCGCCCGGGAACAGCGCTCCGCACGCAGTCGCCACAGACGTCCAGGGCATGGTGAAGGGCGACCTCCAGTAGCAGAGGTCGAACAGCTGCTGCCAGTCTTCGGACGGACAGCCGGCGGTGGCCGCGGCGACGATGGCGGCGCTGATGATCAGTAGCGCGAGTCGCATGGCGTCTTGCCTCGTAGACCGGAGGGCGAGGTGGCGCGGGTGGATGGCTGACGGCCCCGAGAAGACTGGCTGGGAGAGGAAGGCGCGGGCCGTCGACAGAGGAGACGGGGAGAGGGAGGGGCACCTGACGACCGCCTGCCGCGCCGGTCGAAATCAGCAGGTGGCGGGATCCCGTGCAACCCCGCCGGCTGTGTCCGGGGGCATTTGGAGGAGCGCCTCACCACCGCGGTCATGGCAAGGCAGCGGTGAGTGGGCCTGGTTTTGTTTGTTGTCATGGATTTTTCATGGCAGGCTGTTTCGACAGGTTGAGCGTTCTCTGAACATGGTCGTTTCATGTGCAATCTCTTTTAACGCGTTCGTTCGGAAACGTTGCGGTTTCCTTTATGACTCTGCATCGGCCCGGAGAGTTCCGGGTGTCTATCAGTCTGTGCACCTGTCACCTTTGTCGGGGCTTCTCAGAGGGCGTCTGAATGACGTGAGAAGGTCAGTGCAGCGGCCCGGCGGGTGCCGGCGGTGTCCGGCGTCAGCACACCCTGCGCCGCTGCCGCCCGCGGCAGTCCTGTCCCGGGTCCTCGCCACTGCCGCCTCACCCCGGCCCTCTCCGCTGCCGCCTCACCATGCGGCCTGTGCCCTTCATCGTGTTGGCAGCGACCGCGGTGACCGCCGCCTCCGCCGCCTGTCCGTCGGCGGACTGGAAGCCGCTCTTCGACAAGTGCTACTGGGCCTCGCCGTCCAACTTCACGCTGCAGTGGTCGGATGTGCCGGCCGCCTGCGACATCATCTACCCCGGAGCCAGGATGGTGTCCATCCATGAGCTGACTGTGCACGCCTTTCTTACCGAGAGAATGCTCAACTTTGAGTATGGCTGGATCGGCCTGAACTGCCACAGTCTATTCTGGGAGGACGGCTCGCCAGTGGACTTCAGTCTCTGGCTTCAACACGAGCAGTTCACTCATAACTGCACCGCCATAACTAACTTCCAGCAAGGATGGAGCCTGCCCGGAGCATGGACATGCGCCAATGTTCTCTGTGACGCTAATCTACGGTTCCTCTGCGAGACAGATCAGCTATAATTAGTCTTTCGATAAAGTTGATGCATCCAATCTGTTTCTCTGCGTTTTTATTCACAATCATCTCAATTCAACTAAGTGGACATGTACACTTTTGTTTAACAGATGTCGGCTTTACCACCGTCGAGTATTTACAGAGGTTAATCACAGGGAACAGTGTTTTATCGCGAATGGGAGGGTGTTCTCGGATGCCGTTAATAAAAGGTGACTGGAGTAACATCAAATGATGTGTTTCGTTTCGTACACTCCTACGAAATACCAATTTACCTACATCACTGCGAAAATTGCATTTAGTAGCAAAAAGGTGTCAAACAACTTTGGTTGGTTTCGAGGCAGTTTGCGTTATAGGACGATGATTAACACCCCCCAGGCAGTCTTTCTGCTCTGCACTCAACATTTTTAGAGCTAGAAGCCTGATTTTTGGTATAGCTGCTCCTCTAACCTTTCTTGATGTCCACTGAAAATTTCAAGTTTCTGTGGTTTTTGGTTTCGGAGATATGACCTTGTTTTTCAGGTCATGTCACGACCCAAATGACCAATTCTCAACATCTTGCGTTGGCTATGGGCCTTGTGAGCTTTTGCCACCTTGATTTCGGCCTTTTTTGCCAGTCTTACCTCCCAATCATGGAACATGTTGTTCGACGATGTACAGATGTCAAGGTCAGGGTCAAGGTCAACCTAGGTCATCTAAAATAATTTTTCGTGAAGTTTTTTGACTGCATTTTGGTAAAAGCTTCTCAGATCATGATTCCATGTAATATGGACACAAAAACACTCGGTGCACACGTCAGTAGGTATACACACGGACACACACAGACATACAAACACATATAATGGACCTTGACCTAACTTGACCTGAAATGACCTCAGCAGCAAAAATCTGGTTGGGTAGTGTGACAAAGAGGTTCTAGCTGGCTTGGCACCAGAAGACGGCATCGTCATCGGTGTATGATAAGCAGCGCACTTGATATCCAACGGTGACCCAAAACAGCAACATTTTTTAGTTTGACTTGACCTGGAAGGTCAATGACTGACCTGCGAAGGTAAAACTGGGTATCATTGGATTCGTCTCTTCCCAAAGAATCTTTTTGGTCTTTACCGCAAAGCTCTATCTCCAACAGGAACGAAATGGCGCGGGGGTGGCAACCCCCCCCCCCCCCCATGTGCGTTCTAGGATGGGAAAATGGCATATGCGGGCGAGGGTTAAGCAAGTCAACGACGATTGACTGAAAGGCTAGCCGTGGTTCGATTTAGCAGATATTTACTAATGGGTGAGTTCCGTGCACCATAAATCCCTATTTGTTTGGATGAGCCATGTCATTGGATGTCAGATATTATGGCGGCGCATACATGCACATGCAATATGGCTACTTATATCCAGGGCATATTTGCGAAGCAGATGTGTCCGTTACCAGAAGCGGGCGTTCTACGGATAAGCAGATGATGAAAATGTGAGTCGCAAATTGACCGGCATATACATCAAACGCCGCCCTCATCGCCAATGCCTAGTGATGTTTGTCAATTGGCGCGTGGGGCGGGAGGGTGTCAGGCCCTGCGCTGTATAAAGTCGCCGGCGGCGGCCGTCCCAGCCACCATCCGCGGACCGGCCGGCACCAGCGTCCTGCTCTCCGACCAGCCTCTCTGGTCACCGGACACAGCCGCACAGCCGGTGCCGCACAGCAGCTCGCCGACCTCCGCCAGCATGTCGCTCTGGACTCTGGTGGCCGCGCTCAGCCTGCTCAGCCTGGCGGAGCTGGGCTCGGCTCAGCAGCCGGTGCTGGGCCGGCCGGCCGAGTCGGCCCGGCTGCCGCTGCCGCCGGCCGCCGCCTCCGCCGCCGCCACCAAGCGCTCGTTCCTGGGCCTGCGGTGCCGCGGCGTGTACGACAAGGGCACGTTCTACGAGCTGGAGACCGTGTGCCGCGACTGTCTGACGCTCTACCAGGAGCCGGAGCTGTACGGCCTGTGTCGCTCGCAGTGCTTCACCACACAGTACTTTGTCGGCTGCCTGGAAGCGCTGCAGCAGGGCAGCGAGGCCGAGCGGCTGGACGCCGCCATTCGCCGGCTCAGCGGCAGGAAGTAGGTGACGAGAAGAAAGGCGACGCGTCACCGGATCGGCGAGGACGAAAGAACAGAGAGACAGCCGGATGGCAGGACAGACGTCAGAGGGAAGGACGGCGGCACCGCCCTCTGCCATGGATCGGCGCGGAGCGCGAGGTGCCCAACGGACGGCCGACCCCCGTACGTTTCGCACGCTTTGGCAGACTGAGTCCCGAACGGTGCCGAAGAGGCGAAACGACATCACATTCGACACTAGCCGGAGCTGCGTACGGGCTGGACGCCGCAGCTCCAGCCAGTCAGCGCTGATAAAGGAACCTCCGAGGCTGGATCCTGTAATGATGAAGTGTCGTTTGTCTAGTCATCGCTAGGGAAAGGTGGGATACTTGGCTCTGCTCTAGTTGCGACTTTTGTGAAAGTTGGACCTTTATTAGATGGTGGAGAATGCATCCTGTGATCAATATATAACAATGCATTGCAGATTCTCTTTACATCTATGCCTATACCTACTGGCTGCAAACGAACATTTTATCTACGAAAATATTTTAGAATGTATTGCTACCTTACCCGGCTGGTTTTCTACGCCCCAGCTGAAACGTTTTTTAGCCTGATATAGGGAACTCACTGAAACTTTCCACCTCATTTAACGATGATCATTCACTGGATACCCACCGGATCTGATCAACATTATTGTAAGGTTATAGACATTCTCTCAGCCGTACTTATTTGCCAAATTTTTGAACATTTATTTTACCAACATCTGCAGTCAGTCTGTCAGATTATTGATACAATGCATGATAGAGAAATTTTCCCAGGAGCAATGCAACTCATCTCTTCCAGCCTTCCAGACAATCTGTTGCAACAGCCCTCAGATCGTGCTATGACAAACTGTCAGACTGTGTTATTAACAATTGCACGGACCGTCCCATGAACAACTGCTGAACCGCATTGTAACCAGCTGCCAGACGACGTTTCAAACGGCGATCAAATCCCTTGCTGTCATCGCCTGTCTAAAATTATACCTTGTCTCCCTCTGCCGTCGCTGCCGTCCATCTAAGGACACTTCGGCTGCATTCCGTCACTGAAAAAAGCGAAACGCCTCGCGCATATCTACTTAGCGCATACCTCGGTGGGCTCGCTAAGTGGCATATGCTTGCCAGGAGTGGATAGACTGGTCCGATTTTATTCGATCTATCTAACTGGGCTCTTGAATAGAATACAGAGTGCTGAACACCAAAACTGGTGGCGCGTGATGGAAGTCGATACAAATTCCAACGCCGATCCTGGATCGTCATGGAAGAAAAGGGAGACCGGCCGTCTGTAACTGAAATGATATCTATTTAATCTTTTCCGGGGTTTACATGTTATGCATGTGTTCGGTAGTCGGTAGTCCGTACAGCAGTCGGCAGCGTGGTAGAAAAGTAGCCAATAGGTGTATCGCATAATCAGCTCGTCCAGTCTAACTATGATGCTGAAGTTACGCCATGGCAATGTCTTTCACCTTCCGCGACCACGGCTGGAAACGGGTAGGCGGCGGTTCGCCTATCGAGCCGCAGCTCTTCTCAACAGTCTCCCAACTCAGCTGTCGCAGCTGTCCCCCGCCCCCTTTGCCCGATCTGTTAAAGCCGCGATAGTGGACGGGGCATCAACTGATCGTCGCTGACCAACGGGTTGGTGGGTGGGTGAGTTGTACGGTACTACGAAAGTGTCTCTGTCCGTGCTTTGACGTGAGTGAATGTGTGAATGCTGTGAATGTTTAGATTAGTAATCGCGGATACGGATTCTGAGCAGTAATCGCCACGCACTTTCAGAATGTGGATCGCTCATGATTGTTCAATACAATACAATACAATGAATGAGCCGCTTTGAACATCAACAAACAGAGAGTGTCTGAAATGAGTCCTGGAACAATTTTCATATTCAGTTAGAAGCGGCCGGGCTCCGCCTCTCCCGGGTACCCAATAATATAAAGTGTCGTACTGGCTTACAGGACGACTAGAGATAAGCAGTGTTTGAAAGCTGCCAGCTGGTCAAAGTTGGTTACAAAACATTCTTAAGTTTATTTGTTGGCCAAGCCAAAGTTGGCTACCAGAAGTCAACAACGTCAAGTTAACGGCTTTTGATTGTGTCAAAATTGTATGCATTGCCCATAGACTAATAGAGTTGCAACACCGTAGAGAAAGATATTGCGCCTCGTTTGCAGTCTTTTTGCTATCGCTAATTGGTCGCTAATTGGTAATTGGTTTGAGTTCATTTCAGCTGTTTGACGTCTGAAATGTAACAATAATGTTTTGTTGTTCGAAAGTGAAGGCATAAAGTTATTATAAATCCGTGGTCATTCGAATTTCAATCACCTTCAACAAGTTTTGCATGAGCAGATTCTTTGGACTGTTATTGGTGAATCAACTGTCTTTCATTTCTGAAAACCCAAGTCATACCACAACGCCGACTTTTTTATGATACTTTATTTTTCAGACCGTTCAAATAACTGCCAATTCACAGTACCTCAATTGTAACACATATACATGCTCGTTACAGGACCGGGTCTTCACATGAATTAGGTACTTTGCCTGTCGCTCACTCCACTTTTTATTCATTCCAACCACTGGCTGGAGCTGCGGCGTCCAGCCCGTACGCAGCTCCGGCTAGTGTCGAATGTGATGTCGTTTCGCCTCTTCGGCACCGTTCGGGACTCAGTCTGCCAAAGCGTGCGAAACGTACGGGGGTCCGCCGTCCGTTGGGCACCTCGCGCTCCGCGCCGATCCATGGCAGAGGGCGGTGCCGCTGTCCGTCCCGCTGACGTCTGTCCTGCCATCCGGCTGTCTCTCTGTTCGTCCGTCCTCGCCGATCCGGTGACATGTCGCCTTTCCTCTCGTCACCTACTTCCTGCCGCTGAGCCGGCGAATGGCGGCGTCCAGCCGCTCGGCCTCGCTGCCCTGCTGCAGCGCTTCCAGGCAGCCGACAAAGTACTGTGTGGTGAAGCACTGCGAGCGACACAGGCCGTACAGCTCCGGCTCCTGGTAGAGCGTCAGACAGTCGCGGCACACGGTCTCCAGCTCGTAGAACGTGCCCTTGTCGTACACGCCGCGGCACCGCAGGCCCAGGAACGAGCGCTTGGTGGCGGCGGCGGAGGCGGCGGCCGGCGGCAGCGGCAGCCGGGCCGACTCGGCCGGCCGGCCCAGCACCGGCTGCTGAGCCGAGCCCGGCTCTGCCAGGCTGAGCAGGCTGAGCGCGGCCACCAGAGTCCAGAGCGACATGCTGGCGGAGGTTGGCGAGCTGCGGCGCGGCACCGGCTGTGCGGCTGTGTCCGGTGACCAGAGAGGCTGGTCGGAGAGCAGGACGCTGGTGCCGGCCGGTCAGCGGATGGTGGCTGGGACGGCCGGCGCCGGCGACTTTATACACCGCAGGGCCGGACACCCTCCCGCCCCACGCGCCAATTGACAAACATCACTAGGCATTGGCGGTTAGCCCGTCTTCTGATTTCAGGTGCTGAATCTTTCATCTGCATTTCAAATCGCCTGGCTTTCATGAATATCATGTTGCCGTTTACCATCACGTTGGTATTTTCATGTTTCCGGCTGTGTCGTCATTCCGTGGCGACGCACCGTCAGCTGGTATGCTCACGGGGGATAGACACGCTACCGTCTGTGACACAGGGGATGTGTCGCTCCACGCTCGGCTGAGAGTGATCCGCCGCCAGCCTTGATGGGCAGATTGTTTTACGGCCGTCTTGGCCGTCAAAAGTGACCTTCCGACCTGACTGGAGTCACGGACCGGTGGTTGCCGCGCAGAATGCGAAACAGGTGGATAGGCAGACGGCATTGAAGTGAAGGTACGGAACTGAGTGACAGCTGACTGACAAGCGCACAGACTGCCACGCAAGCAGATGGATTGACAGACGGGTGAACAAACGGTCAGGCTAACTGGACATCAAATATTTTTGTCGGATTGGAAAAGGGCCGACAAATGGACAGGCAAGCGGGCCCGAACATTAGGCGAATACTTTTTTCTTGAACCTTTTTCATTTGGAACGGAACAAGAAAAGCAGGCAGGCTGTTACGAATGGTCAAGAAGACAAGCACCCAGCCGCGCGTGAAGGCAATTAGACAGCGAGACTGGCATGCAGCAAGCTGCGTAATACAGGGATATGTAGGTGGAGAGAGACGAAAGACAACGGACATAATTGAAGGACAGAGCAGACAAGCAGAGGAGTTCATGAAGCAACAAATGCGTGCTCGTTAGCGAAGCATTCTCTCCTCCCTCCCCCACCCACAAACACCACACCCGAACGGACAGACGGACGGACGGACGGACGGATGGATGGCCTGACTGAGGCTCACTCTCGCCACAGGAAGTTCTCTAATTGGCGTTTGTCTCGGTGACCCTGATAGTGACCTTTGTTAGTGGTCGTCCTCGCTGTCTCGTCACGCATGGTGTGACCTGTCCCGGCGACCCGTGTCGCTCTCCGCCCGGTAGCTGGAACTCGCTGTGACTGCCCGCGCTGAGTGCTCTTCTCGTCATGGTGGTGGCTGAGAGCATTGTCTTGTCTCCATGGTCCTGGGACAATGTGGAGGAGGGTGTATTGGCAGGATTAGCTGCACGCTCCACCGGGAAGGAGAGTCAGATGGATGATGTGAACTGTGGAGAGTTTATTGTCAGGACTAGCCGTATTTACGCTTCACTGGGGAGAGGGGAGTCGGGGGCTGGCCCTCTCATTAGCATCGCATTGGCACTGAGCCTGACAGGTTTTGTGCGCTTCCGTGTGGGTTTCCCTTTACAAGGTCACACTATAGTTTTCTATCAGGTCTCATGTAATAGGCCGCCGCGGCGCACGGGGTATCCCTCTCTGGCCTAATGACACCTTGGAATGAGATTCTAAATAAGTTAATCCCGTTGGGATAATAATACTCCGGTGGGAGCGTAGGACAGTTCACCCGGTCGCTCACATCGATTGGGCTGGTTCCCGTTAGAATAACCCTCCGCCGGCTATCTGGTGGCTGCTGGTGGAGTACCTTTACTGTCAACCCGAAATGGGGCATATGCTGTAATTTGAGGATTGAGGATGTGATGGAGCAGCGTAACCGGTCATCTGCCAACCGGCAAAATCTTGTTTCATTTGTGGAACTGGAACTAGGAAAAAACTGAATTTTTAAAACAACGATCAAGAGGTCCCAGGTTCAATTACTGAGCGGAAAATTGAAAAATTAGATGTTCGGTGTGTGTTATTATAAATATAAAAAAATGTATAGTCGACTACAGAATGATGTTCCGCTCCTCAGAAGCTATCAGTTGACCGGAGCGCTAAGTTGTGCCGTTTATCACGCAATTAAGCTTAAGCGTGTCGATTGTGAGCATTGGGACAAAGCTATGATTTGTGAACTCAGCCCGTGTGATGCGGCACAGCCTACCACTCCAGGCAAATAATTTGCCTGTGCAAAGTGGAACATCATTCTGTAACATACATAACATACCTATTTCTTTTAGTCTAGCGACTAGCGACTATTATTTCTGACTTTCTAAGCAATGCATTTTCTCTTGGTAGCGCCCACCATAATGGACCGCAGATAGCAGGTGCTGCCCCTGTGTTTGGTGTCGGTAATGTCTCAGCTTATTAGCGATCACTGCGACACTCCTCCGTGGAGAGCAGCGCCGCCACTAGCCCAGCGGCAGAACAGGGAAACATCAGTTCCCGCAGTGGCCGCCAGGTGATCAGTGGTCACTGGATCCGCCGCCCGCGAGAGATCAACGACCAGCGGAGTAGCAGACTTGTGACAGCTCAAGAAAAAAGTGAGCTCGCTCAGCTCAACTCCGTCTTATCCGCTCCCGCTCAGCTCCCGCTCAGTTTAACGCGGCTCAGCTCAGCTTACGTTCCGCTCAAACCGGCTGCGCTCCGCTCACGCTCAGCTCAGCTCAGCTCAGTTTCCGCTCAGCTCAGCTCAGCTCAGTTTCCGCTCAGCTCAGCTCAGGTTCCGCTCAGCTCAGTTCAGTTTCCGCTCAGCTCAGTTTCCGCTCAGCTCAGCTCAGTTTCCGCTCAGCTCAGCTCAGCTCAGCTCAGTTTCCGCTCAGCTCAGCTCAGCTCAGCTCAACTCAGTTCCCCTTCAGCTCAGCTCAGTTTCCGCTCAATTCAGCTCAGCTCAGTTTCCGCTCAGTTCAATTCACGCTCAGATCGTTCAGTCGTTCTTTTTAAATCGGACATGCTTAACCCGGCAGGCGGTGGGCCTCCCGGCCACCTTCCGCGCGGTGGGGGGGGGGGCATTTTTTGCCCCCCTCCCCCGTATCTCCAAAACTACTGGACAGATCCGGAAAATTCAAACGGCGTTCGATAGCCCTGTCAAATTTGTTGAAGGAAACCAAATTTCATTGACCTCGGGGTCACCGATGACGTCACAGGTCAGGTCAAAGATAAAATGTTTCACCGGTCACGGGGCTTCGCGCTATAACACCGAGTAAAACGCACTTTGTCGAAAATCAGCGATAGGGTGTCAGTTGTCTAGTACATATGTTGCTATAAGAGGTCACTGGTCATACCAGGTCAGGTCACAGGTCAGGTTACCAGAGGTCACCAAGGGTCACCACATGAACCCAACTTTACCAAGGTTGTGCGATGCATGTTTTATGGCCAGTTTTTCATTTCCAACTCAATGGTGTTGGTTATAAGACCATCAGGTACGGTTTAGGTCACTTTCTGGTGGAGGTCAGGTCAAGGTCAGGTAAAAAAAGTCAAATTTCAAAGTTGATATTTCTGCATAAAATGGGTATGGATTCGATGCAGCTTGTCACGGGGAGTCTAATGGTGGTCTTTGTTTTGCGCTACGAGGTCTAGAATTGCTAAAAATTTAGTTTGAAAATTTGACGTCATCAATTTTGAAGTTTTTTCGCTATAACTTGGCCAAAAAAAAGAGGTGTCGATCTCAAATTTGGTATGTAGATAGCAGGCCGTAGGGACTATCACATATCTTACGGTTTTTTTTCGAAATTCAAAAAACTTTTTGGATTTTTCGGCTATTATATTTAAAAAATCTAATTTTTGATTTTTGGGGGTCAAAATCCAAAAATTTCAAAAATCCGAGATTGCAGTTTTGTAGCCCTTTGAATTCTACACTTTTCATGTCTGAATATTTTTCTGTATCTCTAAAGCTGTAGGCCTGACAGCTCTTCTCGCGAAACCTTTTTTGAGGTCGAAAATGGCAGAAATGACGTCACTCTGACGTCATTAGCGTCCAACCTATCATAGCCTTTGGAAAAATTTTAGTCACAATGTGCAGTAGCTGTACACGGGAGGGTACCGAAAATTTGGTGACGATCGGTGCAGCGGTTCTCGAGATATATCGAAAAAAACTAAGGGGGGGGGGGCAAAAAATTCCCCCCCCCCACCGCCTGGAAGGGTAAAAAACAGACCGACTCTTGGCACATAAGTAAGTCTCCTCTAGGCTCTAACAAGGAGCGAGGCAACTTACACAATGGGCAAAAGAGATAAGCTCATTAAGACCTTGAGACTTTGCGAGTCGTGCGTCTACTTGGACTCAGACTACATGAAATGGACTGTTCTTGGCAGTGTTATCACATGTTATCACAGTGTGCACCCGCGACAATCACCGCAGTGCACTCACGACTGGCACATGACGAGCATCAATAGAAACATGTTCTGTTCATCAGGGCTGCGGAGTCGATGGATTTTCGGGGACTCCGACTCCGACTCCGGCTTTCAAAAACCAGCTCCGACTCCGACTCCGACTCCGGGCGGGATTGTCGACTCCGACCGACTCCGACTCCGCAGACCTAGCAGGGCTGCGGAGTCGACAGATTTTCGGTGACTCCGACTCCGACTCCGGCTCGGGTTTCTAAAATCGACTCCGACTCCGACTCCGGTCACAACTGTCGACTCCGACCGACTCCGACTCCGACTCCGACTCCGCAGCCCTGCTGTTCATGGCTTAATATCACAGAAAATTCACCCGCAGAGGAGCCCGTCTTATCCGCTGGCTCCAGTGCGCATGAAAATCATCACAGTGGACTCACGACTGGCTCTTGAGTCTTGACGAACATCAATGGAAACACGTTCTGTTTATGAGTAACTATCACATAAAATTTACGCGCAGAGGAGCCCGTCTTCTCAGGTGGCTCCAGGGCGCACTCGCGAAAATCATCGCAGTGGACTCACGACTGGCATGGCACTTGACGAACATCAATGGAAACATGTGCTGTTCTTGGCTAAATATCACATAAAATTCACCCGCAGAGGAACCCGTCTTATCAGCTGGCTCCAGTGAGCACAGCTGAGCACAGCTTAGCTGAGCTGAGCTGAGCTCGCTCAGCTCAGCTCAGCTCAGCTCAGCTCAATCAGCTCAGCTCAGCTCAATCAGCTCAGCTCGCTCAGCTCAATCAGCTCAGCTCAGCTCAGCTCGCTCAGCTCAGCTCAGCTCAATCAGCTCAG